AGAAAATAGTGATTTCAGACTACATTGGTAATGTAATTCGACAGGCAAATTACAGTAACATTTTTAGCAAATTTCTTTGAAAAAATATCGTAGGCATAGGGCCTAGCTACGTATACAGTATTTTCATTTTAGAGTACGTAGTTTGGAACGATATCGGAAGTGGGGGTGCTGGCAATGGCCTGCTATTAGAACTACAATTTATTTGAAAATATCTTGGGTCCGATCGTCCACACCAGTTGGGCCCAATAGTCTATCACCCAAAGTTTTCAATACGATTATCAAGAACGTACACGATCTATGCCCTGGGCTAGGCTTAGCTTGCTGTAGTCACTCTGCTACGTATACTACACTACAACCGCATAACAAAGAAAGCGACCCACGTGGTGCATTCTTAAATATTACACACATTATTTAATTGTATTAGACGATAACACGATATCATTGATTGAACGATCTAACTAGGCCTACCCTTGCATCGCAGTAATACTGAACTAGGCCTAGCTTAGGCCTCATTTTTTTGTGGAAAGCTAGACGGCTGCCTTTACATTTTCACCTGTTTTCAGTTTGCATTCAAAGGGTACATTGCTGCACAGCCAACTGTCGGGGATATAGTACCTTCATATGACTACTCATACGTATACAACAGAAAAAAACGTTGCATGGACTAAGTGAAAAATGGAGATCTAAATGAAGAAACGATGTATTTCAGCAAGTATTAAAACATTTTAGTCTTATTTTAGGCCTTCTTCAAAATACCTATGCCTACAGCAGATTATTTTTTTGCCGTAAAACCAAAATAGTTTCATCCATGCCGACATTCTGGTCGGTTAGCGTGAGCCCTGACTGAACTCTGCAGAAACTTCACATCGATCTTCGCAAGTTCGCATCGCGATGTAAAACAAAATGTCGGAAAACTTTCTTTGACGCATGCGCATTTGCATAAATGTCTACACACACACATACACACTACACACAATAAAAAACATAGGAAATAGCAAGAGTGATTACAATAGTTCCTATTGCATTACATGCATAGGAACTAAAAAGTATAAGAACAACCGATATCACTACTATTATATAATTATTAAAATTATTCTATTTATTACATATTCTAATGTTGTCTAATTCTTGAGTATATAAGGGTACATTGTAGGAATGAAATTTGTTTCAGTCTCTTGCTCGGGCTCAGCAAGAGATTGCCTTAAAGATTTCTGAATTTTTAAATGAAAAAGTACCATCTATTAGTTCAAAAAGTATAAGAACAACCGATATCACTACTATTATATAATTATTAAAATTATTCTATTTATTACATATTCTAATGTTGTCTAATTCTTGAGTATATAAGGGTACATTGTAGGAATGAAATTTGTTTCAGTCGCTTGCTCGGGCTCGGCAAGAGACTGCCTTAAAGATTTCTGAATTTTTAAATGAAAAAGTACCATCTATTAGTTCAGAAAGTATAAGAACAACCGATATCACAACTATTATATAATTAATAAAATTATTCTATTTATTACATATTCTAATGTAGTCTAATTCTTGAGTATATAAGGGTACATTGTAGGAATGAAATTTGTTTACGTTAAATATGGTACATGTTAAATATTCATATACAATTACGATTATATTATATCTAGGTAAGTGGAGAAGACTGCAAATTGTGTATGACTATTATTGTTTCTACTAGGAAAATAATGTGAAACACTGAAAGACCCCAATTGGAAATAAGCTTATTTTTAAACTTTCTTGGAAGTATGATATATTTGGGGTTTTTTTTCTCTTATATTCTACTTTAAATCTGAATGAACTGAATAAATCTAAACAATATAGCATAAATGCCCATATATAGTCATTATTTACCTATATATGGTCATAATGTGATGTCGTTTATTACAAAATTTGATAATGTGCACAGGGATTAATTCAGGGAAGTGACAGAAGCATTAGATGTATCTGTATGGACTTACAAATGAAACTTTGCTAGGCATTTTGACTTCTGTAACAATACCACCTCTGGTGTAATTCGACAGGTTTGTGGTATCTCCAATACTGAATGAATATGGTCCTAGCACCTTAATCTTGCGTGGCTCGCACTGGTTAAGCTCTACCATACCCTAAAGACAATTAAAAAGTACAATAAGTTGTAGAGTTACAGTAGTAACATATATATCATGCAATTTATATATAGTTTACAAAAGAATACTTACTTGGACTTCTGCGAATGTTACATAATCCCCCGACTCCAACCCATGTCTGGTTTCGTCTAAACACATTACTACACCTTGTTCATCCTAGTGGTAGAAAACAAAAACAACTACTACAGCAGGCAGATTGATTACATACAAAAAGCATTATATAATAAATATACAAAAGAAAAAATACATATATATTATACATACACAAAATAATAATCTGCCATTTTTTTTTGAATAACACAAAAGTACTGATTTTCAAAGAGTTAAATCAAAAGCAAATGTATGAAAAGTAGTACAGGATTAAATTTTAAAAAAAAACCGAAAAAACAATGATATATTTTTCTATTGTTTTGTATTAAACTAGGGAAATCTTTTGAGTTTTAGAGAATACTGGATCAGAAATATGAAGCTTGTTTTTATTTCTTTTGCTGCAACTTTATTTACACTTTCAGAACAAAAGGCTTCTTTATTTATTAACAGAATGAAATGCAAAAAGGCCTGGCCATGTTTCAGGCTGCATAACGGTTATTCTCAGTCTACAGAATTCAATGAAATACAAAATATGGGACACAAGACACCAGTCACTACTGTAGCCTGCCAAACACAAAGAATTATGGGTAATCTCACCTTAGTAACTGAGGAAAGCATATTACTGACTGGTGGTTCTCCATTTGTATCCACCACAAGAAAATCTTCTCCGAAGTCACAGAAGATTTGACCGAATAATCCTCTTGTTTCTGCCACTATCAGGTGGATCCCTCTGGAATGGCAGAAGTCTCCTATACTCAGCTGGGCTGCCAATGTGGAGGTTGTCAGGACAACAACCTGCAAACAGCAAAGCATATTTGTAATTTTTGTTACTTTATTTATATAGCACCTTTCATTTAGTTCACTGGGTCTACATACAAGTGTTGCTGCCTTATTGGCGCAATAGCAAGCAACCACATTAGGTACACATTTACACTCCTTGGTAAAGAGAAGAAATGCTCAAGGACACAAGCAAAATATACCAGCGAAAATGACCTCGAAGTTGGGAAACCAAACACAAGTCACCCGTCTTTACCTGAAATTTACTTATGAATGACTCGTTGAGAGCTGTGGTGTGGTGCGATACTGGTACATAGGAGTTCAACTCTGCAAGACGAGGTGTGGTCACTTCAGCTCGATTCTTACCAATATCTTCTTTACGAAGAAAAAACTAAAATGGAGGAAAATGATAAAATTATTAAAGATATTTAATAAAAAAGTAAAGCATAGGTGATAACAGACGCAATTGAAGAGGGCATAAACAAGAAAGGATGCGTGATAGGAATTATATAAAAATGAAGAAATACACATGATACAGTACATAAAGTTCTCAAATTTGTTATCAGCGATATTTGGTTGTCCACGTTTAATTGGACCTTAACTAAGCAACATTTTTCGACACACTGAAAACCATGCCATTGTTTTGGCTTCCCTTTCTTCAAGCTAGAAACACAGGCACTGTCTTGGCTTTCTAGCCATACCCCACCATCATGCACGGACTGCGAACACTGGCTTTCGTATTAGCCTTTTCACATGTAATCTTGGTTTTCCACCAATCAGCAGCAAGTCTTACTACCCAAACATATAATTATTTCCCTGTTTTAGATTTTCTGCAGATAATTATCCTCCTGGAGACAATTAGAGCAACTCAATTGAAACGTTGAGATATTCTCAAACAACAACAACCTTCAAACAATAACCTTTGATAACAACATACCTGAGAGGAGAGATCTGCAATGGTAACTGGTTCCTCATCATGGATTGTCACGGACTTGACGCCGGATAGGACAACATTCTTTGCGATCTCAACTCCAAGACCTTTCATTCCGGATATCAGCACATTTGACCTGCTCATAAGCTTCATAGCTGCATGCCCAAGGACATACCTGCAAAAAAACAAAAACAAAAAATAAAAAAAATATTATATTCAATTACTAGTTTGTAAAGTGGGAGTTTTGTAATAATAAATTAATTCACAAGTTAAAATATGACAATTAAATTACCATGTCATGAAAATAAATGTAATTATAGAATTTTAATAAAATATAAAGCAACAAATAATTTTGTTTAATTTTGGTACTTGTATTTGAACCTATTATGAAGTACTATAGGAGTTTACTTTCATGTCCAACCAGGTAAGTAGAGAAACATAAATATTTCAAAAATTTATTATTTTCATATTTTCATTCTGTTTAAAAAATAAGAAGTTTTCTTTATGTTTATTATGCCCGCCACTGCCTTGAAATCTCCAAAAATAAGATATGTGTATTTCTAATAACATTTTATTTTCATTTTCTCGTCCGTCCGAAGTTTTTCTGCTAAATAAGAAAACCAAATTTTTTCTTCTTCTGTAGGCCTCCGAAGGTTGTTAAAAACAGTTGACGTAACAAGGTATAAAAAAGTCTTGCATAAATAAGAAAAAAATATAAAGAACTTGAACAATTGAGGATATTGGAGAATAATTTAGTATACTATTCATAACATTGGTTACATTATGTACAGATTTACATTATCCGTAATTGTTTGGTTTGACATTACTCATTACAACTCAATTATTTATGCTGACCAATCACGATCACTTTCTTTGTCCTGTCCAGTCGTCTTCAGCTGTAACATTAATTACTTTAGCTCCGTACTATTCACTTGGTAAAATGATACATCATTTTTTGTCCTGTCTATCAGTCTTCAGTTGTAATATTATTTAATTAGCCCTGTACATCAATCGCAGTAGTAATAACATTATACTTACAGCTGTCTTGAATACAGGCCTTCATCAATTTCTGTCTGATCCCCATTTTTTGCCATTTCCACCTACAAGAAAAACAAAATTGTTCTAGAACTTACAGTATTATCAAATACATTCCTTATTGTACAGTAATTCTAAATTTGGAGTAAGGTAGTAGGGTACTGATTATCTAATGGTACAGTACCTGACAGGGGGTCAAATGACATATGGAATGCCAACTTCACATTTAACTATGTGATTAATAGTCCCTACATACAAAATATTAAAAGCAAATTTGCATGTTATTAATAATTAAAAACAAGCAAATTTGGTTTTAAAGGCTTCATTTTTCACACAAGTAACTTATATACAGACAATAAGAACATCCCACATTTAACTTTTTAAGCACAGGGGTGTATTATTTGCTTTGCAGGTTGATGATGCATAGAATGACCCGCCTAAAACTGTGGTTGAAATCAATGAGCCATGGAGGAGTCTCATTTCATTTGACTTCATATTCTATTTGAAAGTGCGCCAACAGTATTAATATCAATTTTTGTTTGGTTCAAAGAGAAAATATTTAAGCATACAGCTCTTCACTATCCAATTAGACAGCAAATTGTTTTGGCTGATAAAAATTACGTAATTAAATAAACTGTTGACAGACAGCTATGATCACTGATTGTAGGATCTCTGCTGAATCACTCCAACACTGAATAAAAATAAATATTAGTCATCAAAACCTATACTTTCAAATCATACGATATAATAAATTATCTGAAGAAGGGATGATAAAATAATCTGAAGGGATGATAAAATAATCTTTAGAAAAACAAAACTAGGTGAAAAGGTAACATTGTTTTACAGTAGATAAACATCCAACAATAAATTAATGACACATTTTGGCTTTAACTCGCAAAATATAATTTAATATTGTAATACATTTTACAGGATTTGAGATTTGAGGTAAATGATTGCACTCTCACACCATTACTAGCCTCATATACACTTCTCTTCAAGAATGTGAAAATAGACCACATTGGGTAATATTTTTATGTGTTGTTTTTGTGTTTATTGTTGATATGATATATTTTTGTATAGTATTTAAATATTATATTTTATTTAGTTATTTTTATGGCAGTGTTCATTGATTTGGATTTTGAATGAATGAATAAAATAAAAATAAATCACACAAAAATAAATAAATTTAAAAAAAATAAATAAATAATAAAAAATAATAAATAACATGGTTTTTTTTTGTGTTGCTTTGAACTCTATACTATTTTGATGAGTTTCAAGTATTCCATAGAACTACAACCTCCCACTAATATTCACTCAATTAAATTAAGGTGTGCCCTTTTATAGCTCACCTAACATTCTCAAATAACAAGCACTCCAGCAATGAATTAAAAATAAATATTAGTCATCAAAAACTTAAAAGCTTTAAACAAATATTTTAAAATAATTACGATAAACTATTACATGAAGGATCGTAAACTAAACATATAAATTAAACATCCACCGATGAGATAATGTTCAATATTTTGGCTTTAACTTGCATTATATAATTTAATGATAAATATTGACAGCTTTTAATAATATTAATAGCTAATATATTGTATATGCAACAAGACCTTTTAGTATTCACCTAGATAGGTATTTATGTATTTAACCAGGATATGATATCAATCTACCATTAATAATGGAAATTAAAAATTGCAATTTCTCATCAACAACATACAGTAGGTATCCACATACAGTAGGTAGCAAATATGAGAATACAGTTATAGGTAACAATTCCATTATGGTCTTCATATGGATTAGGAAGAAATATTGCTTTATATTTTGATAAATACTGTCATCTGGCAGTCCCCAAATCAAGACACTAATTTGCCCTTCCTTTATGAAATCAAAAGGGACAGTCCATAAATCTGAATAGCATTTTGGTTTCACTAACATGAGGTATATTTCGACGCCATAATCTGCAACACCTTTGGCGAAACGACCTGCACCTACTCTTTTATAATAGAAGACTATAAATTGCTCATAAGGTTGTGTTATTATAGTGAAACTGAAGATTAGGGTCATGTCAGCTCCACCAATCAATACCTCAAATTTATGTAAATCCATCAGAACATTATCCACAGCCTATTTTGTTAGTTATAGGCTTATTTACCTATAATACTAAACAAATAACTTATGCCCAACTGTATATTGCACTTTCACATGCAACTGTACTCCAATGTATTATCAAAATGGACAATTACTCACAAGGACTATTCGGCAGACGCTCGCGTAAAACATTATCTATAAAGAGGTCCTTTAGAAAAATTAATGACAAGGTAACTATAACATCCTCAATGATTGCCTCCTTAACTTAATTCCCATAACATTTAACTATGCCTAGTCACCATTTCACACTCATTTACCACCGTACGGAACACAGGTATATGCTAGTAAAATGTAATAAAAAGGTAATTGTTTTATAGAAAATATAAAGTTTGCTACCAACAAAACTTTTTTTTAAATAAGGCAAGATTTTTATACCTTGTTTAGTGAACCCACCGTCGGCCAATAAACAAAGATTTCAAATCATACATAAAAAATACCTCATGCCCAACCGTATATGTTGCATATTCACATGCAAAAGGGTACACTTCGATGCATTAGGAAGTTTTCGATGCACAACGCTAACCTTAACTTTAACGTTAGTACCAAACATGCAGCGCGATAGCTCCGCCCCTTTTTTAAACAAATCAAAATATGCATGCGCAAACCCATAACTAACGTACATCGAGCACGTAAAATCCTGAAATTAATGTACTCCGCTACGCAAGGAGAATAAATTATGACATCATCCGTTAACGTCGTGCATCGAAAAATCCCTATTATCAAAATGGACAATTCCTCACAAGGACTATTCGGCAGACACTCGCACGCAAAAAACATTATCTACAAAGAGGTCCTTTAGAAAAAATAATGACAAGGTAACTACCTATAACATCTTCAATGATTGCCTCCTCAAATTCCCATAACAATTTAACTATATGCCAATTACCCCCTTTTCACACTCATTTATCACCATGCAGGGCACAGATGCTAGTAAACGTAAAGTATTTAAATTCTTTTATAGAAAATATTTATAAATTTTGCTACCAACATAACAATTTTTATAAAATAAGGTGGGACTTTCTTATACTTTGTTTAGTGAACCCACCACCAGCCAATAATGAAGATTTCAAATAAAAATAAAATTTCATTTTTGAACAAGTAGCGCATCCCCACCACGAAAAAACTGAAATTTCATAAAGAAATAACAAGTTTTTCTTTATTTTTACTACACCCTCCGCTGCCTTGAAATCTCCAAAGATAAGATGTTTAAATTTGAAGCATTTAACCATCGTATTTCACATTCACCAATAAATTTTATATTTTAATTTGGATGCGGCCCTTAGTTTGCGGAACGTCGTCCTAGACGATTTTCACCTCCGCAGTAGGAGTAGATTGATGACCAGACTAGCCGCACCCCGAATTTTGGGCAAAAAGCACGTAAAAATTTTATCTACAGCACACCAGAATACACTGTAGCTTCAGTTGCAAAATTCGATAGATTTTGATTATGGACAATGTTTCAAGATACAATTTTTGTCACTTGTTTTAGTTGCCTGGGAAATCTAGGAGCGCCGTTTTTTGCTCTCCTGAAAGCAAATTAAGGAGCGCAATCAATCTCGCTCCTTAATTATGATGGGACTGATCCCATTACTATACTGTTTACATTCACCTATAGAATTTTATTTTCATTTTACCTGTCTTACATGTTACTGGTAAAACTATTTGCTAAATAAGAAATGTATGACCATATAGTACCTTACCTTATTGTAAACCTTAATGAAGCTTCCACGGTTATAAGCTCAGCGTAGACCTATATAACTTTGATGTTTATACATTACATTTACAGTTTAACTACTAGCATGAAAAATGTATCGACAATACGCTATTGTTATATATCAGACAATATACTAATTTCAGAGAAAAAAATTTGAATAGCCACACGCTGACTGGCTGGTACAATATTATTAACACATTTCAAAGGGACTATGAATTGACATTATGAACCAATACGCTCTGCTGTTGTAATTGCTCAGTCATCAATAACCACAACAAATATTTGAGTGAGATATATCTAATTATATGTTGGTGGTGAATAAACTAATTAAAAGAACTGATCCAGAATAAATTTACAAGATTTGCATTAGGCCTTATAAAAAATATTATTAGTTTATCACCCTATCTGGGCAGGAAAAGTGATGTGGTAGGGAGGCATTTTTTTAAATTTTTTATTTTGCTAAAGCCAAATATCACCCTTGGGTTGATTGCTGGTGCATTGATATTCAAAGTAAAACATGATTTAGATAATGCAAACAATATCTACTAACTACTTAATAAAATAAATGGAAAAAAAAAAAAAATTTAAAATAACAAACTAATTTTTTTTTCTCAGTACCATAGAAGACATGCGCGCGGAGGTGATAAACTAATATTTTTTTTTATTTGGCCTTATTAAAAGGCCAAAGGTTGAGATCAAAGGTCGATGTCAAAAGTTTAAATATATCTCCAGTTAAACTTGTCTAAGTCAACTTTGCATTTTACATGCTAAATTGTTGTGTTTTCCATTAACAATCTGTAAGTAAAATTTTATCTACGTCAAACAACATTTCAATGGCATTTTGGATTTGACTTAGGCAAGTTCAACTTATGTGTTGTATTCTTAATAGACAACTGACAATTTAAGTCCACATTAAATTAGCAGTACCAAATAAATACAATTTACTTACACTCGTGGTTGCAACTGAATTATTTGATGTGTTGTTGGTATCAGTCTGGGACTGGACTTTCAACTTTTTGCTTGGGGGCTCGGAGCAGTGATCCTCAGAAACGCTTGCTGACATCTGCAATGAATTGGGTTTGTAATCGTTAGTCTTACTGTAAGCGCTAAACATAGCATATGACTACAAAGGCCTTATTAACATCAGATGAGCGATTCATAGGCTGTGGTTTTAGTATGTAAAGCCTTCCAGACTATCATATTTTATTTGACAAAAACATGCCTAAATACGTCATGTCATGTTTTTAAAACATGAATAATAAATAAGTTTAAGTTTGTTAGTTTTGTTTTCATGTATGTATCTTTATGTTCTGTTGTTCGGGTTGTTCATTCTTAAAGCTCTTGCTTGCTTTGAATACTGTACATTTATCATTGTGTATTGTTACTTAATTATTTTAATCAATTATCAATTTTTTATGATTTGTATTTTCCTGAATTTTGATGAATGGAAATAAAACTTATTTGAATTTGATTCATAGGCTGTGGTTTTAGTATGTAAAGCCTTCCAGACTTATCATATTTCATTTGACAAAAATATGCCTAAATAGGTCATGATGACATCACATCATAACCACATATAGGCATAACATGCCTAAATATATCATGATGACATTACATTATAACCATATATGGGCATAACATGTTATTCAACAACCAATACCAGTTTATGGAATTTGCCAAAAACGTTAAACAAACTATACAATGCTCTGTACAAAACAATCTCATAATTACGCTTTGGGAGTGGAATTGTTTTTAGTTATAACAAGAAAAAATCTAAAAAATAACATCTGTTATACAATACATAAAAATATTTAGCAAATAGCAATTTACAAACAATTTAACATGGGCAAATCCAAGCAAACTACCAGCAGCACATCAAATAAATGGTCTAAGGACAAATTTGGGGAGACAGGATTTTTCTAAGCCTTGTTGTTAATGAAATTCAGGAAATTTGATAAAATGCGGGTCTAGATTTTAACATGTGTTGAAGGATACAGCTGTATGGACCAGTTGTCTTCCTTTACCAGGTTATTATAACATCAATTTTGTCTTCGTCGGAAATGATTTTCATTCCATATGTGAGATTGTGTTGCATTAACAACAACAACATCAACAGGCAGTGACACTGCCTGCATTTTGCAATCAAAAATAGCATTAACTGGCTGACATCCAATTGTTCAGCCCATTGCTCATGGCATCTTTTAATATTTAAGAAACATGTAGTGGTAGGTAATCCAGTGGGCTTAGCAACAATTTCCTTTTTGCAATGTAGGCCATATTGTTTATATAGACCACATGAGTTAAATTTTGGTTACAGATAGAAAATCTCTGTAAGGTAACCCATACCCGGAACTACTCTTACTATTACTCTTTCGGACTACTTTTTCTGTTGGTAGCTGCTCTTTATGGTAAGGCAGCATTCAAAATTTTGGTGCAGTATTTAGGCCATTTTTCCAAGTCCCCAAAATTTGAGTGCGACTTACAACCTTGATTGAAGATGCATAAGGCAGCACTCTGAAATTGAAAAGTTTGCCTATTTTTGAGACACAGCAATGTTAAGCTGTTCGGTTTCTGGATGGTCCCATATTAACAATGTCTTTTATCTCATATTCTAATTAGAGACCAAAGGTGCTATAAAGTCCATGGACATTCCATTACCAAAAATGGTCTTTAATTTGTGGAGACCTGTATTATTTTTTAAAATTTACTTTCATACACTTTAGAATTAGGACAAAAACTTTTTAGAAATGTATACAAAAACAATAACACTATTCATATCTATCTACCCATGCAGAATTACCAAAGGAAAAATTATTTTTTTAAATACCGAATGGAATGTGTATTGCAGGCATTGCCTTGGGAATGGCAAGTTATTAAATCTAATTATATCAGTGATGACGACAGTCTAAATTGTCTTTGTTTAGAGGAACAAATAAATTTCCCTAGAAGTAGAATACCATGTAGTCAGTAAACATATTAGTAGTAAATCAATAATTCTGAATAATTCCTTAAAGCTTAATAAACCATGAAAACACTGTACAGTTGAACCTGCCATTTACTGTACGTACACCTTGGGCTGAAAGCAGTTCGTAATTGAGAAAATTCGTAAAAAAATATGAGAAATTCGTATGAATAGTGACACAAAAACAAACAAATAATACAGATGCTTATTGAATATCCGAAGAGTCATGATTCATTCTTAAAAAGATAAAAGGTCGATGTTACCATACATTTGTAATGACTAGCTGATTCGATTCACATGCATTTAGTAGGCCCAGGGTAGGCTGCCCAGCCTTGCCCTTAGCCTAGACAAGGTAGGCCTAGCAGCATGCACTGCCTGCCTGAATTTTGGCTAGTTTTGATTATTTTACATCATGTAATTGGTTTGACTTTTTTAAGCCTAAAGTAGTATGATGTATTTATGGAAATACTGTATAACTAGTACTATAATGCATTTTTAATGACCTTTGTAATTCGTTTTTCTTAAAATAAATAAAAATAGCAAAAATTTGATGAATCAATCTAGCGATGACATCATCGTCCGAACTTTCGTAAAATAGAAGGTTTGTTTGATTGACTGTACATTCTCTATTGTTTTATTGGAAATTGATAATCCCATTGTAAATTGTTACAAATAGAGGGCGCAATTCAATTTTAGGTATGTCAACTAAGTGACAAAATCTTGCATTCTGATGACATCAAATTTACCTATTAATTAATATTTCTGATATTTAATAAACATGCCACATTCCATTTTTTTTAATGCAATACTTTATCATTATTTCTATATAATTTACAAGATACTGTATGATATATTTGTGATGGAAAATTTCTCAAAAAGAAATAAGTGGTCTATTTAATTGATACTGTCCTAAATGTCTACAAACACCACTTCAAAACCAACAATGATACTTCCAACATTTATGATCTTTTTACTATGAATTTATTTACTGCTAGGGGAATGTTGATGCAAATACAATTAATATTTTGTCCTTATGACTACAGTAGCAAATAAAATTTGAAAACTTATTTAAAACCATTATTAATTTTCAACTTCATAAGTTTTAATAGTTTCAGATTCTCTGGCATCCAATATTTACTTAAATATTAATTATTGATAATGGAAAAGAAAAGTGTAAAATGCTGGGCAGTTTTTATTCTAACTAATAAGCATGGAAAAGCAAGCATTGATAAGACTTCAGAAGGATTAGTCTAATCTAGGCCTAACTCCAGTGTTCTGCCGGTTGATTGAAACCTAGTTGTAGGCCTAATCAATGTTTTTATTTTTATTTTACCAACAACAAAATATATACCGGTGGACGGCTAAAACGGCTTCGGCAGAAACTGAGCTCATTGATTTAATAATAATAATAATTCTTTATTTGTCCTCGTATATGTATGCCTACACACTGGGAAATTCGGGCTGGGTCCCCGGGGACCCGCGGCTGCCATAGCTCGGCGCCAACTACCCCACTTACTCTAAACATCAAACGGATACAGACTGATACATACATGGTCCTTAACTCGCCTAACTCTCCTGAGAGGGTTATTCGAGGAGCTGAGCGTTTTGTTATTAAGACCCGAATTCAATACTCGATGCAGAGCCGGGTATTGAACCCGGGCCCTGGCGTGCAAGAGGCAGGAACCATACCAATTAGCCAAATGCTCAGCACTCATTTCAGTTATAGTTTAAGTTAGGGCCTATCTATACCTACCTTTCTTGCTGCTGGTAGAATAGGCCTTGACCTGGCCTATTACTAGGTATAACAAAAGGGGAAGGGGGCCCAAAGCCCTAACTAGTTAAATTATGGATCAGTGCAAGCCCTAACTAGGCCTAGTTAAATTATGGTAAATCACGCCATTCATTCAGTACCAACAATACAATACAATTACAACAAAGGAAAGACGATAAAACGAAGATATTCACAAAATGTTATCAATTAGGTGTAAACTTAAAATGAATAAAAAGCACATATCCAACGACACAGATAAATACTGCACATAGGCCTAGGTATTTTTTGCCTTCTGAACGAAATTTCGCCCAGCTTATCAACAATTTTCCAATGAATGGGTCACCGGTGAAGACAAAAAACTTCTGTCGAACAGCAGATTGATTCCGCAGCCTACAGAATTTGAATGACGTATTTTACATTTTAATGAATTTATTCGGCATTCTTACCATATTTTTTCCACAATCTTTGCATAAAAATGCGCCTGGATCATTTTATGCTACAAAAGTGTTGGATTTACAAGAATATTTGACAAATATGAGTCAAATCATAGAAAAAACCTAGAACGTTCTCGGTGAATCACGTCTGTTCAGCACGCAAACGTTCCACGAGCAAACAGCAGAACACACGTGAAGCCCTCTGTCGATTTTCAAGCTAAATACCGTGCTGAGGGCTTTGTACTTTAGCGACCCATTCCGCACAATCATCTTCCCTAATATAACAATATAAAGCAATAAAATTTTAAAATATCCTTACCAAAACTACTTTACAAAATATGGCACATTTATACTATAATTCCTAAGTGGAATTTTGCTGTTTGTCAGGAATTATGATATACAAAATTCAGTGTTTCCGTCGCTATGTTTATTCGCTTTGTGCGTTGTCTACCTTTTTTTACCTGGAGACCCGGAAGGACATTGATTGAGAAATTTTATTGTATCTGTAGAGAATTGCCAGAAAGAGAGATACAGTAATTCACGTAAATTACTTAACTAAATTTTGTTTTTGTACATTTTCAATGTACCATCTATACGTTATGCTGTATATTATTTTTTGATGTGTGTGTAGAATGTGCAGTGTCTCTGCGACTCAGTTGAATTTGTTAAAAACATCACTCAATAATTTTTAATCTATGGTATTCACTAGTCTTGACTGATTACGAAAAGACAAAGCCAAAAATTTTACTTTATATGCCTAAACGCTGTAATAACGATTGTAATTTAGTATCCAACATTTTTTTTAAGAACAAATACGCTTTTATAACGTAATTTCTAGCAACATAACGATAAACTAACCGCAATTAACTTTCAAAATTCCGCCAATTAATACGTTTGTATACAACAGGATACAAACACAATATCAGAGTAGCATACAAACAATGAAATGATAGGCCTATTTTTTGAAAATTTAGGCCTTCTTAATTAAACCATTGTAACCCACGCACAACATCTTTTTCACAACCTAATTACTACAAAAACGGCAACAGAACATTGTGCACATGTCCTATCGAACTGCTTGAGATGGTCGTTCCTTGAGCTATACTTGTTGGGTGTGGCTTCATTTTGTTCTGCTATTAGGATGTAACGCTTTATTTTATTATTTTGGCAATAATATAAAAAATACATTACAAAACAAGTAAAACAAAAAACAGTACAAATCACAAGAAAAAATAACAAGGTAATCATATTACAAATCTGAGCCGAATAACTATCTGTACGGTGCGTCGCGTAAAAATTGGACCCGGTGTAAAAAATATTTCTTGTATTGTATTGTTGATATACCGTAAACATAGGCCCGGTAAGATTTTCAAGATGAGAGTGCAATTTTCGCACACCTAGAGATCCATTCTCTAATATTCTCACCTCTGCCGCCGGTGGTGTCGACTATCACGCACCCCACCGCCAAATCTTGCATCGGCCCCAATTGGTCAAGTTGCCATGGTTGGACGGTCGTTAATTGAATAATTGAATGAATGAATGAATGAATGAATGAATGAATGAATGAATGAATGAATGAATGAATGAATGAATGAATGAATGAATGAATGAATGAATGAATGAATGAATGATTGATTGATTGATTGATAGATCGATCTATCGATCGATCGATCGATTATTTGATTGATTGATTGATAGATTGATTGAAGACCAAATAACTAAACTAAATATTCCTTAGACCTAACTAAATATTGAGGTTTTTTAAATGGAGTTCATAATTAGCCTATAACCTAAGTTTCCTAAAATGAACACAAAGTATTGATAATGCGTTTCCTATGAAATGAGGTGCATCACCTTTTGTATAAATTTAATGTTGTATTCTGTCTGTATAGGCCCTATACAAAATAACCGTACAGAACATCGTGTGAACGCATGACTGAAAACCTTATTTTCTATTTTTCAGATAAGATTGAATGTGGCTGGCAATATAGTTTAGAACCAAATTTTGTTATGGTGGATTTTATAATGTTTGCTGTGTGCTATTAAATATTAATTCAGTATTGTAATGTAAATCAATAAAGATAAAATAATATATAGGCCTATCCATATTTAACTGACAAAATATTTTTTTAGATAAACATACAAAAATGCGAGTTCTTGGTACCAGGTACATGAAGTAATATGTGGATCAAGGTTAGTGAATCTGATTAATGTTTTTCCTTGCATTATTAGCTCAAAAATTATTTATCAGTATAATAATAATAATAATAATAATAATAATAATAATAATAATAATAATAATAATAATAATAATAATGATAATGATGATGATGATGATGATGATGATGATGATGATGATGATGATGATGATGATGATGATAATATCTTTTTAAAACGGAAAATACTTGTAATGGATCCCATTATTAGGGCCCATAAAAAATTATTAGTTTATCACCCTATCAAAGAATTAAAACTGATGAGGGAGGGAATTTTTTTTGTTTTTTTTGTTTTTTGTTTTTTCGCCAACTTAGCCCCCATTTACCGATGTTCACAAGAAAATCAATGGTTAGGGACACATTTATAAAAATTCATAAGAATGGAATCAAATTATTTTTTTTATGGGGCCTTATTGACTACAGGATCTTAAAATTATTCATTCTGATTGTCCGAAATATATCAATTTTAATTCCTTTCCATAATTCCATAAATAATTTATCTTAATAAGCAATTTTTCATAGACATGGTACCACTTTTGACATTTTGTTTGTCTTTCATTTTTAATTTTAAATTTATTTCATTTGTTGCTCACGGCTTTGTTTAGCATAAGTTGAACACTTTATTTCTAAATTGTTTCTTTATATGGCTACTTATAAATTTACTTCATTGTCTTTAAACATTATTAGTTTAGATGCACCACTATTATTATTGTGTGTGCCGCCGATCTTAAGTTATTCCTAATAAATTGATTGATTGATTGATTGATTGATTGATTGATTGATTGATTGATTGGGTCTCTTCTTAAGTCTTGACTTGACATGAATAGCGCTCTCTATACTTTACAAACGTTTGGGCTAAAAAAGTGTCTGGAAAACCGGCAACTTTTAGCAGCAACCAACAACATTTATTAAAGATCGACTTGATCAACTCGACTTGAAAATATTTCGCGATTGGCCCGTTTCGTCGTTCTCAGAGTAGATCACGAAACTTAATTTTCATCAAATTTCATTGTAGTATCAGCCTTACCAGGTAAGCGTATATTAAAGCGACATGTCTGTTTTATTATATATATAACTTAGGTTGTCACTGCTATATTTTATTTACTTTATAATTAGATAACTTGTTGCCTATATGAATGAATGATTGCTCTAGCTAGGCTTGCTTGTCGGCAACTCACCTTGTCTGAGCCGAGGCGTAGGCAGCTAGTGTGGGGTGTGGGGAGGCGGGGCTACCTATGCTAGGCGGCCTATGCCTCCTTCCCTATGCCTCCTCCCTTTCTTGCATTTAGTTATTAGTTAGGCCTAGGTCCGTTTAGTCGTTATTTAGCGGCGGTGTAGACGGACTGTATTGTTAGGCTAAGTTCCATACAAATGACCAAATGATTCAGTCCATGATACTATATATGTAAAGTTATAAAATTGTTCAATGATTATTTTTATGTCATCATTCAACAACAAGGGGCTTGACAAGGCCAACTACTAACTAGGGCCTACTAACTAGCCTAGTAATTCATCCTACACTACCAGCAATTTTAAGATCAAGATGCCCTATCACCTAAACAAAAGGCCTATGACCCTCTGCTGTAGGCAAAATAAAACAATTTACTAACTAAGAGAGAAAAAAACAGAAATTTTGTAGCTAATTTTCAGTTATATTAAGATGTAGTTTTACCTATGTATGGTTTATTATTGTTTAAAAAAAAATTCTGCAGCAAATTGAAGTCTCTAATGCATTGGTCATATAAATAAATGGAACGCTCGATTGATTGATTGATTGTCGGTAAATTTAAGTCTGTAACACATTTATCTACTTTTTTCTTATAATATACAGTAATAAATAATACCAGTATTGTAAATTTTAAACAATCATGTTAGTCAAGATCGTCTGTGCTCTCACTAATTGGTTTATGTTTTAGACAGAACTAATAACATACCATGCTGTGTTAGGTCAGGTCCTAATTGTCATTTTGGGATAATTTTTCTATGTTGATTTTCCTTTGTCTCTCTTTCCTGCAATCTTTACTGACACTTATAAATTTTCATTCCCTTATTTCCTCATTACATGCTAAAAAAAAATCTGCCATTAACAGAACATTTTGATCACTTTCCTCTTTGTAGAGGCTGCTTTTTGGAAGACCTCCAGGTGTATATACTATTGTAGGCCTACAGTATATTAATTAATTTAAGTTCAGTTTTATTTGTTTATATTTGTGCGACCTTTAAAGAGGTCAATTTAGTAGCCAGATAATGTTCTCCCATTGGAACAGTTAACTTGTAGTAATACGGTAAATAACATTATGCTGCCCTCAATTAGACCATAACTTATCGTTATGCTGGCATGCGTCGCGCGCATAAGAGAGTTTTCCTATACGTATACAGCACAGTGTTAAAGAATAGAAGTTTGGTGTTTAACATACTGTACATTTAATGAGTCAACTATCATTAAAGAATCTATTGTTTAACTCTGGAGCGAGTGCAGTTTTCCGTCCTGAGGTTTGTTACTGTATAATCGAAACGTAAGTTTGCAACACCTCTTAACCATCAAACTACGAAATACAGGCAATAATAATAAAAATAACAATATAGGCAGGCAGTGTAATTTATTTATTCAATGTTTGTTTTAATAAATACTGGATTATCAAATGTATATTATTATTAATATTATTACTGATGATAACATATATCATCATCAAATCCATATTTTTTAATTCTGGGGAGTGCAATTTTCAATTCTGCGGTTTGTAGAATCGAACAGAGAGATTGAAACACCTCTTATTTATTTATTCAAGACTCATCAGTGTGTCAAACACCAACAATAGTGTCGCCATAAAAATATAATATGATATAAAAATATATGTCTAAAGATAACCACCAAACTACAAAGTTCAGGCAGGCAATGTCATTTATTTATTCAATGTCTGTTTTAATAAATATTGGATTATGAAATTTATATTATTATTATTATTGATATGATAACATGTATCATGACCAAATCAAGATAAAACTGGTTTAAACAAGATTTATGAGGATTATCCGATATTAAGTTTTTGAATCAAATTTGGTATTTGTCAAGTGACCAGTTATTCTTTGGCCACACCTTACAGTATTATCTTGCAAGTCATTCTTCCTGGTAGCAGCATTGATAGTAGTGTACTTTGTCGTGCAAGGTTATTAAAGCTCTCAGGCTTGAATAGTTCCTGTTTCATTCATTGGGTTTAAGCATTAAGTCACAGTCCAGCAGCTTTGAAAGAGTATCTAAAATAACTGGCTGAAGGGAAAATTTCTTAAATAAATACTGTTTTGAATGGTACCTAGCACCTTTGCTTACAGTATACCCTGTCGTTTTATTCAATTAAGTCACACAGCCAACTTCCATTGAGGCACAAATCAAAACAAATGAAATAAAAAAATCTCAAGATGTCGAAGAATAGGAACGGCAAATATTTTTGCATGATTGTAGAGGAAATATTTCTTATATTCAATAGAAAGTTTAGTTTATGTCGGTCATTATCCATGTTTTTGTCATGTGAAGTAACATGAAATTATGAAAGCATTTTAAATTTGAATGTTACTACTGTATGCAATCTTCAATTCCCTTTAAAAAGAATTTGTACATTTTCATTACTTTTGCGAATAAATACTTAAATTTGATATGCACCCTAAATAATACCAGCAGAAGCTGCTATCAGAGGTTTGTGTAAATTATTTCCTATAAAGTGCTAGGATACTAGTTTTTAATTCTGAATGTTTTCCTTACGTAACATTGCTCTATTTACTAACAATTGAAAATTTTTTTAAATCTAACAAAATATATTTCTGATGTTGATGTGGAACTTCATAGCAATTTAGGGACATAAATATAAAATAACATTCGGAGGTAAAACTTTCTGTTAGTGATAAAATCAGGATCAATTATATTTGAATTAAATTAACCAATTATAAAAACAAGCACTTAACTGCGTTGTATGACCTTTGACCGACGAATCCAACGTTGTTGCCTGTGAGCTTTGGACACAGTGAGTGGCTGGCTTTAAAGCCAGGTTCAATAATAATAGTTCAAATAGGAGGAATAGTCTTTAAAAAAATGATTCAGATTTGTGATATCCGTAAAATAACTGATAGGGCGAGACTTTTTTTATTCCTTGTTTCGTGAACTTATTTTTTTAAAGGTCATCAGAAAAAAGCAGGAAAAAAATAATAAAGTTTAGTTTTTTCATTTAGCAAATAGTTTTGCCAAAAACATCTATCCGGAGGAGAAAATAAAAATAAAATTTTATTGATAAATGTAGTAATGGGATGATTAAGTGCTTTAAAGTTATATAATTAGGAAGAAATATACATGTCTTATCTTTGGAGATTTCAAGGCAGTGGAAGGTATTATAAAAATAAAGAAAAAGTTGTATTTTTTTCTGAAATTCATAAAATAGTGTTCAAAGCTAACTTAGAATCGGAAACCATGGCAATCTGGTTTAAGATGGCTTTCCTGCTTATAAAAACAAAATTATTCTCAGTGTCCTTGTTGCGAAGATATCAATTTATCCACTTCTGATTGGCTAAGGGTTTTTGTATAATTACTAATCAGCTTGTAGCTACTTGAAAGGTTTGATGAGCCAGGCAGTGGTATTTGCATCCTGGTAATCACTGAACTGTCATTATGTTTTGTTGGTTGTGAAAGTCTTCCTTCTTATTGGAGGCTTCAACATTATTCAGTTAAAGACACCTTTTGTTTGTATACAAGGCTACACTTCAATTAATTCATGTGTACTGACATTTTCTAACACTTGGTTGCCTCTGCTCAGCGATACTTATTGTTGGATTTAAAACATTCAAGCTTAGGATCAGATTTTCTCTATACGTGTACAGTACTATCATATTTAATGTTTAATATTTACAGTAAGTTTTCTTATAATTGATTTTTTTATCTTCTGTTCTGTTCCTATATAATTTTAGATGAGTAGGCCTAATGTTTTGTTCATTAGTGATATTCGTTAGTATTGCTTGTTTTAGAATTTGAGTCTAATAACCTAGAGTATAAATGATTTGAATTAGTGAGTAGAGTTGATTTTTTAAAATTATGCTGTACTATTGTACAGTACAGTAGAGTGATTTTGTTTTTGTTAATGAATATTAGATAAATTCATTAGATTATTAGGCAGTATAAAAAATACTGTAAGTGGATTGTCCGGCCAACATTTTTTGGGTCTTACTATATTCTAAATTTTAGGCGTAATATTCTGTGAAAATTGTTCATTCCCTCGTCCCTGTACACCCGGGCCCTCCTCTCGGACGAGATGAGTTATTTTTATTTATGGCGAGTCGGTTTTTGGTTGGTTTTAGGTGTCGGTCTGAGTTGTCTTAATGATTATATTTTTTTACCCTGTTACAATAATTTTTTAACTAAATAAAATGTCATATAAATGTTAAATTAATTAGTGAATTATTTATTTTTGTATTTGAATTCATAACTTAATCTATAATTCAATTAACTTATAGTAGATTTATTCTATTTTTTATTTGTTTGTAGTATTTTAGATGTAGTTTTAATGTTTTTCTCCCCTTTTGTTTGACTTATTCATGTTAATGTGAGATTGCAATAAAGTTCTTCATATATTTCTTATTTTGTATTGTATTTGTGTACCCTCATATTAAATTTGATTATTTTCTACTGATAAGGATAGTCATGCACTCCACACTTGACATCAATAAATTGGGGAATTTTTTTGTTGTAGCTGGTAGATATTTTAAATTTAAAAGTTGCAGGCCTGTCATCAACAATTACATTTTGTTTACATATTTTAATAAACTTGTTGATATCAATTTAATTTCTCTCATTGGCCAAGTTGATTTGATTTGAATTTATATCATAACAAATATTTTTACACCATCTATTTGTAAAATGTTTGCCAATAAATCTTTTACTTTTCATTAAATAGACCGAGTAACCATGAACCAAGTGGCTCGCTTGAAGTGTCCATTCCTTGGCCGGCTGCCCAACGGTTTTGCCAAACGGGCCGGCAGCTCTCTGTTCAGCTATGCGGAGAGTTGCCCCGTTATGACTCAAATGCTTGCCCGACATGCATCCAGTAAGCAGATGGATAGTGAAGGTACGATTGTAATATATGTTCATTTTTATAATTTACATCAATCAATCAATCAGTGAATCAATGATATACTATACAGTACTCTATATGGTATATTTTAATATAATTTTTTAGTATTTGTTATGTAATGTGTTTTACAGTGTTGTCATTTTTAGTACTGTGTACATCAGTGTATGATCCTTATTTTAAAATCTGAATCATCACCATTCAAAAGATCGTCATTATCCTTAGACCTTATCATCATTATATCATCATCATCTTCATCATCATCATCATCGTTATCATCCTCATCACCATTCTCATCCTTCTCATCATTATCATAATCCTCATCACCATCATCATCATCATCATC